TCTTCTTCTTCTTCTTCTTCTTCTTCTTCTTCTTCTTCTTCATATAAATGTGTGTATATATCTCCCAGCTTAATTCTGGAACGCCTTGAGCAATTTCAGCCAAACTTGGTACACACATTACTTACTCTCTGGAAACAAATACTGTGGGGTAAGATGCCCCTAACATCCCTTGGAATGTGTGTTCTTAAGATACAGCCTGTTGTGCCTTCAAATGGCTTCTACCGTACTGCCCTCAGATTGGCTTCTACTGCACAGCGCTGTGGAGTTGCCACGGTAACGGCTTCACAGGACTCCACACAAGAGGGCTCTCTCAGGTAATGGGGAAGAGCCAATATTACAAATTACATTTGTTCCAGGTCGCCGAAACCAGGGCTTTTCCTGTCTAATACAGGATTAGGGTAAATAAATATCGGCTTAAATTACCAGGTTATCGGCTAGTAACTCAATAAAAATGTCAATAACAAGGATCTTCTTTTGCTAGAAAAGAACTGCTGGAATAGGTGAACGGGAGGGTGGTGCAAATCAATCAGCCTTAAAGGAAAACATCCCCACCACCACATTCCAACTGCTTTGCATGGAACTCGACCCCAAACAGTGACGGCCGGGGTGGGATTCTACCAGTTCGCACCTATTCTCTAGAACCGGTTGTTAACATTCTAAGCAGTTCGGAGAACCGGTTGTTAGAAGAAATTACTGGGCTAATCCTGTAAGGAAGGCAGGAAGGAAACATTCTGGTGTTGCTTACAGAAACTGCCTCTCCGTTAACTCTGATTACATTCTTGGCAGGACTGGACTTCCTGTCTCAGGAACTTCTCTGGAGTTTTTTTCCCCTCCTTTGCTGGGACTTTGCTTGTGTGGAATGACCATTCAAAGTTACAATGGCACTGAAAAAAGTAACTTATGACCATTTTTCACACTTACGACTGTTGCAGCATCCCCACAGTCATGAGAGGCCAGGCAAGGAGATGCGTGCCGCGATGTGAGTGATATTGAGTTGGCCACGCCTAGCGAATAACATGACCCCCAAGCCACGTCTACCCGGTTACATGACCACCAAGCCACGCCCACCACCTAAGCCACGCCCACAGAACCGGTTGTTAAAAAAAAATTTGAATCCCACCCCCGTGTGAAAGGGAAGGGCTGGAGGTTACCTTAAATCTCTCCTCCTGGCCAACTCATCGGACGGGATGACCCAAGGCAGGTTCTGTGGAAGGCACTGAAGGACGTCTGGAGAGAAATCCGCGGTGTCCACCCCGTATTCTGCTAAGATGCCTTCGGTTTCCGGATCAATTTCACCGGCCTGCCCGAGACTTTGGGCCAATTGCCTGCGAAAAGCAAGTAAAACCTGACCAGGGGGCTCGTTTACACGTCTTCGAGACATCTGACAGCTGCCCTTAGAAAGGAGGGCAGGCTATGCCCCCGCCCCCACCCCCAAGTCCAAAAGAAGGCTTGAATGGGTACTGCAAAACCCATGCTTCATCAGGTCATAGTTCCACAACTATTTCGAGAAATAGCAAGAAATAGAATGACCGAGGGTGGGACTAAAAGGCAGCGGGAGAAGAAAGGACTTCCGACTTCCTGCTGGCTTCCCCATTGAGTCTCCTTGTGGGAATCTGGAAGGGAGCATCAGAATTCATCCTTTCCTTTCGCTTCGCTTCCTCTTTCCTGTTCTCCCCTTCTCCTCTGTTCTTCCCTTCCCTGTCCTTCCCTTCTCCTCCCTGCCCTTCCTCTTCCCTTCCGTCCTTCCCCGCCTTTCCCCTGTCTTTCTCTGATCTTCAATCCCCGCCCTTTCCCTTCCTTTCCCTGCCCTTCCCTTCCCTTCTCCTCTCCCCTGACCTTCCCTTCTCTTCCCTGCCCTTCCCTTCCTCTTCCCTTCCCCACTGTCTTTCTCTGATCTTTGACTCCCTCTCTTTCCCTTCTATTCTCTTCCCTGCCCTTCCCTTCCCGGCTGGCAGTAAAGGGGGCCTTCTTGGGTGGGAGAGGGAGTGAGGGATTGCAAGACTGGCTGGGAAACTGTCATGAAATGGAACGTTGAGGATGACGATCACATGACCAGCAACAGCCAGCAGCTCTGAAGCGGCCACAACGTCCCCAAATTTCATGTGTGTGTGTGGGGGGGGGGGAATAGTTTTCTGCAAGGGGCAGCTTCATCTGTGTAAGCGACGGGTGCGAGTTAGGCCCAGTTGCAAATAGGCCTCAGACCGACAGCGGGCCCGGACCTATAGGTTGGGAACCCCTGCTAATCATAGGACTGGAAGGGACCCTGGAGCTCAAGCAGGGGACCCCATACCATTCCAGACAAGTGACTGTCCAGCCCCTTCTTAAAAACCTCCAGTCAATGGAGCATCTACAGCCGGGGTCCCCAAACTTGGCAAATTTACAACTTGTGGACTTCAACTCCCAGAATTCCTCAGCCAGCATAGTTTGGAGACCTCTGACCTACAGCTTCTGGTGGCCAGCTGTTCCGCTTAACAAATGTCTCATTTAACAACAGAAATTTGGGGTCCTAAGTCAAAGGCCTACCTGTAGTTAAAATGGGCCTCTTGGATTGGAGGCCCGTTTCTAACACCGCATGGAGTTCCCCAAAAGAACACCTGGTCCGTGGCCCTTTTCGAACTCCCCTGGCAGCCTCAGCTCTTTATAATAGTCTTATGGAGGGTCTTAGAATAGAATAAGCTGGAAGGGACCTTGGAGGTCTTCTAGACCAGCCCCCACTTCCCCCAAGCAGGAGAACCTAGACTATTTCAGATTACTGACTATCTATAAACTTTGTGATGACCCAGGGCGTGACACAAAAATAATACAGTCACAAAAGTTGAATAAATTCCCTCTAATGCCTCCAACTTGGACCCCAATGTCCAATTTATTCTTGACTTGATATCAAATTCTTCCAAAAACAGCCTACAAAGAGAGTAAATGCAGTCCGAACCAAAAGTAAAAATAATTAGAATTTTTTTTAAAAAAAACCCAACACAAACCACACTGGAGTCATTTAACACGGCAGGCCAGGATGATAAATTGCAGACTCCCACAAGATAATGCAGCAATCACAGTTGGGAAGACGCCCGAAACCCAGATAAAAGAGCTATTTAAAATGTCCCCACTTATATCCTGCTCTCTCAGCTTCAGCAAATGAAAGGGATCAGGGCCTTTTCCTCTCCCGTAAGACATGTTGCTCTGTTCCTCCCTGAGTGCCCTCGAATGAAGAGGGGATGGCCCTGGGTCTTCCTCTGAAGGGCCAGCCGGATTGTGCTCTTCCCCCGTTTCTTCCACAGCCACCAGGGCCACACTCCCACTCTCTGTCAGCTGCTCAATCTCCCCCTCAGAATCAGACTCCAACAAGGGCATGACGGACTTCTTGAAGGGACACAGCGGCTCAGTGACATCAAGGCTGAGCTTGTCGATCAGAAAGGTCAGCAGTTCGGCGGTTCAAATCCCTAGTGCCGCGTCACAGAGTGAGCTCCCGTTACTGGTTCCAGCTTCTGCCAAACTAACAGCTTCGTAACAGAGATGAGCACCGCCCCCTAGAGCTGGAAACAACTACTACGTAGGTGCAAGGGGAACAATTTACTTTTAATAAGACGAGACAAGCGGAAGAGAAAGGCAACCAGCAGCCAGGTGGATGGCACACCTGAAGGACCAGGTTGGAGACGGATTGTTATGGAAAATACCTATCTCTATAGTCACCAACTGGATGCCGCATAATCAATCGTAAACATAGCAACTGGTGTTAATAATAACTATGAGTCATTTTTTTTTAAAAAAAAAATGACATTTCTTCTATTGTTAACGTGGGGAATATCTCCACCACGAAGGAAACAGCATCAGGTCACAGGAAATAAAGAGGTTACACAACGGAGCGGAATTCAGCCAGGTGAAGTTTTCTCGTCAGCGAACAAGCAGTGATTCACCTTGATTGGGCTGGGAGTGAAATTATAGAGGGCAGGTGTCTGCTTAGATGGATCTCAGCTTGTTGGAAAGATAACATCAGCTGTCTCCAAGGACTGGGCTTTTAATCCCATGCTTTCCAGGTGGCCAGAGGGCACCAGGTTGGAGAAGAATGAATGAGACTGTTATTGTAGACTCCTTGTATTTCCTTGAGTTCTGGTGACGCACAATTACTCATCCTTCTCGAAGTAAGATTGGGGCAAGGATTGGAAAATTAGGTGCGCTCTATATTTCTCCTTTATTCCATGCTCCAAGTATGGCTAGATTAGGAGAAAAGAATATTAATTCTGTTGTGGTGCGGACGGCTGAGGTCTCGGAGAGCGAGGACTCAGGTGAGGGGCCTGCGTGGGATGCAGGGATGGGGCCAGGACCATCAGGGAGTGGAGTGCTGCCTTTGGACGTTGTGGAGGCTGGCAGCAGTGATGAGGAGCACCCCGAGGAGCCTGTGCCAAGTGCATGTGCATGCAGGGCTGCTCGAAGGAAAGAGCAGCTGCAGCAGCACGGGCGACTCGGGAGTAAGGCTGCAAGGTAATGGCCGCTCCCTTAAGGGATAAAGGCCAGCTGAGAAACCGGAGTTCTTTGCAGGAAGCAAAGAAGTTTTTGCACTCGAGCCTGGTGGATGTTCGGGATATCTTGGTTGGTGTTTGGAGACTCTTTGTGTTTGAAATATTTCTTAGTAACTTTATCTGGTGTTCTTGGCAGCCTTGCACAACCTTGGCAAGGCTCGTCCTTATCGGAGACAATGAGTTTGAAACAGCCTTTTAACCGGGAAGGAACGGAATTCGTAAAGAATCATTAAAAGGTTTTGCTGTTACCTCCATTTCGTGTTCGTTTCCTTGGAACAAGGTTTGGGTCAAAACAAATTCAGAGGCATCGGTGAGGGAACCATACATGTAGTCCTTGACTTATGACCACAATCGAGCCCAAAAATGTCTTATTGTTAAGCAAGGCAGTTGTTAAATAGGTTTTTGCCCCCATTTCATGACCTTTCTGGCCACAGTTGTTAAGCAAAGCAATGCGGTTGCTAAGTGAACCAGAGTATATTCATTAACTGGCAGAGACATGGTTAACAAAGTGAGCATGGCAACAGACCAGCCAATGGGAGCTTTGCTGGGAATTGAAAGTGAAACTACACTTGCTTGCTTGCCGAAACTGATATCTGCTCCGAGTCAGTCTCACTGTACACATGTTGTACTCTGACAATAAAGACAATAGTAATTGTGTATTGCTTATGTTACACTGAAAGAATCTACAAATGGTATTGTAAACCTCACTCATCTTATTATGTTTATAAAGAAGTTAATGATCCTGCTGAATCAGTCACCTGTATACTCTCTGGACTTGAATTTCTGCCGCAAACTCCAACAAACCACACCTCAGTTGTTTAGTGAGCCACATGGCCATTAACTGAATCCGGCTTTCCCCCTTATCTCTGCTTGTCCGGAGGTCGCAAAAGGGGATATTGTGATCCCAGGACACAGCAACCCTCATGAATATGTCTGAATTTTGATCATGTGGGGATGCTGAAAAGGTCGTACGTGGGGAAAAATGGTCCTAAGTCCCTTTTTTTTTCAGTTTGAACGGTTGCTGCAAGAATGGCTGTAAGTCAAGGTCTCCCTGTGCTACTTTCTCTCTTGGAGGAATTGAGCTTCGAGCTTTCGTGTTTGCCAGAAACAAGACAGTATTCCAGGTCTTCTACTTCCCTTGAACCAGCGTTGTGGCTTCTACTCTTACGACAACTTCAGTCAACCCTGGAAATTTCCTGGCAGTAGGCCCAATGAACCAGTGGATTGGAAGTTGCCTTCAGAAGTTGTCGGTGCTCCAACACCGGAGGTTTTTTTTTAAAGAGTCTGGATAGGGGGTTGGATTAGAAGAACTCCAGAAGGCCCGGGAGATTCGTAAATATGAAAAAGGGTTGCAGGAACTGAGAATTTGTTTGTTCGAAATGTTTGCTTGGAACACTGACAAGCTAAGCTAGAGAAAAGGAGGACCAGGGGTGACATGGTAGCTATCAGCTTTGGAAGCCATGTTGAGATCTGATGCTCCCACGCTGGCACAACTGAGCCTGGGAAAGTGGGGAGGGGGGAATTCATTGGAGTATATCTAGTTAGACAAAATAAAATTCTTTTGCTGATTCAAGTCGTCCTTAATGGGTCTAAGTCTACCTGGAGGGAAGTAAGCAGTGGGGTGCCACAAGGTTCCGTCTTAGGCCCAGGACTCTTCAATATCTTCATTAATGACTTAGATGAGGGAATAGAAGGGGAACTTACCAAATTTGCAGATGATACTAAGCTGGCAGGAATAGCTAACACCCAAGAAGATAGGCTCAAGATCCAGATGGATCTTGACAGACTAGAACACTGGGCCGTATTTAACAACATGAAATTCAGTGTAGAGAAAAGTAAAGTCCTACACTTAGGAAAGAAAAACCCAAAGGACACATATAATAGACTGGGTGAAACCAGGCTCAATAGCAGGAACTGGGAGAGGGATCTCGGAGTCTTAATGGACAACCAGCTAAATAGGAGCCAGCCGTGTGCAGCAGCAGCCAAAAAAGCCAATGCAATCCTAAATTGCATTAACAGAAGGATACAATCGAGATCAAAGGAGGTACTAATACCACCCTATAAAGCCTTAGTAAGACCACACCTAGAGTACTGCATCCTGTTTTGCTCACCACATTACAAAAAAGATGTTGAGACTCTAGAAAAAGTGCAGAGAAGAGCAACCAGGATGATTTTAGGGGATGAAGAACAATTACAGGAACCGGGCCTGGCTAGTCTAGGGAAGAGAAGGACCAGGGGAGACAGGAGAGCAGAGTTTTAATATTTGAGGGGCTGCCACAGAGAGGAGGAAGGGGGTCCAGCTATTCTCCAAAGCACCTGAAGGCCAGACAAGGAATAATGGATGGAAACTGAACCAGGAGAGATTCAACCTGGAAATAAGGAGAAACTTTCTGACAGTGAGAACAATCAACCCATGGAACAGAAGTTGCCCTCGGAAGTTGTGGGCGGTCCATCACTGGAGGTTTTGAAGAAGAGATTGGACAATCATTTGCCTGGAATGGTTTAGGGTTTCCTGCTTGAGCAGGGGGATGGACTAGAAGACCTCCGAGGTCCCTTCCAGTTCTGTTTCACTGCTACTTATTCCCCTCTTCCCTTTGACGGTCACGTACCCAAGGGCAAAGTTGCTGTCCTCCCGCCAATCCACAATGCGACAGATGAAAAGGATGCTGGAATAGTCCTCGGGGCGCGAGGCAAAATCGGGCGGGCAGTCGGCCAAGGCAACGTAGGCGCGAGGCACTCGGTGGTCCACTGGAGAGAACATGGCATACTTCCGGAACAGGTCACTGTTGCGATCGGCCAAGAGGCGGATGAAGCCCATGGCGGTCCTGGAATGCTTCTTCTCCAATATGTAGACTACCTGGAAGAACCAAGAGACCCACCGGGAGTGGGGATTTGCGAAGGAACATTGCTTCTAATAAGGGACAATATTTGTAGCTCAGAGCTGTAGCTCTTTGGAGGAAAACTCAACTCCCTCTTCCGTTGTCAAACTAAACACGGTCAAACTATTGCTACCGTTCTTCTCTCGTCTCTCTTATTACCCATCGCCTTTTCTACTTATGACTGTATCTGGTATCTTTACGATTTATATTGCTTCATTTTGTTTCCCTGTAGGATTTATGTTGATTGCTTATTTAGTATCCTTTGACTGTTATGATTTATGATGAATGCATTTTCATGATGACTATGATCATGATTGATCATTTATAGCTTTTATGGACACTGAGAGCTTATGCACCCAAGGCAGATTCCTTGTGCGTCCAATCACACCTGGCCAATAAAAGAATTCTATTCTATTCTGTTCTGGTCTGTTTGGTTTGATTCAATTTCTTTTCTATTTTCTTCCCTTCCATTCCATCCCATCCTATTCCCTATTCTATCCTATTCTCTCTTCTCTTCTCTTCTCTTCTCTTCTCTTCTCTTCTCTTCTCTTCTCTTCTCTCTTCTCTTCGCTTCTCTCTACTCTTCTGTTCACTTCTCTTCTCTTCCCTTCCATCCTATTCCCTGTTCTATCCTATTCTCTCTTCTCTTCTCTTCTCTCTTCTCTTCTCTATTCTCTTCGCTTCTCTCTACTCTTCTGTTCACTTCTCTTCTCTTCCTTTCCATCCTATTCCCTGTTCTATCCTATTCTCTCTTCTCTTCTCTTCTCTCTTCTCTTCGCTTCTCTTTTCTCTTCGCTTCTCTCTACTCCTCTGTTCACTTCTCTTCCCTTCCCTTCCATCCTATTCCCTGTTCTATCCTATTCTCTCTTCTCTTCTCTTCTCTTCTCTCTTCTCTTCTCTTCTCTCTACTCTTCACTTCTCTTTTCTTCCCTTCCCTTCCATCCCATCCTATTCCCTATTCTATTCTCTCTTCTCTTCTCTTCTCTTCTCTTCTCTTCTCTTCTCTTCTCTTCTTTCTGTTCCCTTCCATCCCATCCTATTCCCTATTCTATTCCCTATTCTATTCTATTCCATTCCATTCCATTCCCTTCCATTCCCTTCCATCCCATCCCATTCTCTATTCTATTCTATTCTATTCTATTCCCTATTCTATTCCCTATTCTATTTCTCTATTATCTTCTCTTTCCCTTCCCTTCCCTTCCATCCTATTCCCTATTCTATTCTATTCTATTCTATTCTATTCTATTCTATTCTATTCTATTCCCTTCCATCCCATCCTATTCCCTATTCTATTCCATTCCATTCCATCCCATCCCATCCCATCCTATTCCCTATTCTATTCTATTCTATTCTATTCTATTCTATTTCTCTATTCTCTTCTCTTTCCATTCCCTTCCCTCCCATCCTATTCCCTATTCTATTCTTTATTCTCTCTTCTCTTCTCTTCTCTTCCCATTCCTTTTCTCCTTTCTTGTTTGTGGCAGCCCCTCAAATATTGGAAGACTGCTCTCACGCTACCCTAATCCTTCTTTTCGTTAAACTAGACATACTCAATCCTCGCAACCATTCTCCGTACATTTTTAGCCTTCAGTTCTCTCAGGCACCTTTGTCCAGGATTCGTGCAGGAGCTCTGATGGTCTCGTGCCACACTAACCCACTTTCTGGATTGGTGCAAGCGCATGGAGTCACCCAGAGCCACCCGGATCATTTTATGTATTGGTTAATTTATTTGCCGCCTGTCTTGCCGGCAGTTTGCGAGAATAAAAAGAATGAAAAGGAAAGGCGTGTAGGCATAACGGAAGAAAACGGGACATCCGTATGACACACACACACACACACACACACATACACTCATTTTGAATGCGCGGGCAGCTTTGCCAAATTCCAGGATGGGCAATTTTTCTATTCACGGCTGGCCATTTTTAGCTTGGTAATTTAATTGGTGAACTGATGAGTTTGGATTTTTTTTAGAAAAAGGAACGATACCTTTGCAGTCTTTTGAACCCTCTCTTCCAGGTTTGCAGTCTCTTCCGGGTTTGTGGCATGGATGCTGCAAGTTTCCAGATCTTTTCCTTTAAACAGAAAAAAAAGAAACCGCACACACACAAACAGATAAGAATATGTTCACCGCATTTGGATCAAAGTTACGCACTTTGCCTTTTAAAATGTCCCTTTTTCGCCCAGTTTAAGGGCCAAACGTGGGGGCTGGAAAGGAGCAAATTCATTATATAAAAGAAAAATTGCGAACCGCAGGATTTCCAGATTCCCTCTAACCGGCAACCAAGAAAGAAAGAAATATGGTCCCCTTCCATTGTGTACATCTGCTAAAATCAAAATAAGCCCAAGATTGACAAAAAAAAAACCCCACTCCTTTATACCAAACCATAATAAACGTAATGGTGGAAAACATGTTTTATTTCTTAAACACAAATAAGATGTTGGAATTTCTTGGCGCTTCCGACATCGGGGTCATTTAATTTGTTACTGTATATAAACAGTACCCTTTTGAAGGCTTGCATTCATTAAAATATTTAACTTCCTTTAGAGAGCGGACAGCAATATCAGAAAATGTGCATTTAGCCCAGAAGCCTAAACCACATCTTCCAGTGGTATCGTCTTTGGTGAGGTCAAAAAGTCTCAAGAGAAAATCAAAGCAGGACTAGAACTCCATGTCGCCTGGTGACTAGCCCAAAATCACCCAGCTGGCTTTCATGCCTAAAGTGGGACTAGAACTTCCTGTCACCTGGTGATTGGCCCAAGTGTCTTAACCAGTTTTCATGCTAGGGCCAGATTAGAATTCCCTGTCGCCTGTTGACTAGCCCAAAGTCACCCAGCCGGCTTTCATTCCCAAAGCAGAACTAGAACTCCCTGTTGCCTGGTGATTAGCCCAAAGTCACCCAGCCGGCTTTCATGCCTAAAGCGAGACTAGAACTCCCTGTTGCCTGGTGATTAGCCCAAAGTCACCCAGCC